GAAGTTGAGTGTGTAAGTTTGCTGTTCCTCAGTGATCAGATGCACCATTTTCACCTGCTGGACAGAAAACAGCTGAAAAACCCCACAGATGCACAAATCCTGCCTTCGTGTTTTTGTGAAAAGGTCTCGGAGCGTCAGCTTTTATGTGACAGAAAGCATGTTTCCGTTGTGAATGTGTGACAGGAGACACGTTCTCTCTCTCTGCTTCTGTTTCTCTCATTATGATTAATGTTGAGACGCCGCTGGATTCTTGATTTCTGACCTTTGGCTCCTGTTGAGAATCAAACATGTCGAGTCGAGACCTTTCGCGCGCCTGAACGCAAACTTCCCAGAAGAAGGAGAGGAAATTCTCTTATTCTCTCCATCTGTCTTTGTTAATATGTTCATTAATCGTTGGAGGTGATCAAGACGTTCCAAATGAGAACAAAACATTCTCCCGCTGCGATATAAATTATTCCTTCCTTTAGATGTTGATGAACCCTGTTTTTCGCACGAGCCTCAGGTGCATCTAGAAATGCATCCTTAAAACATTCAAGAAAAGCACTTTCAGATTTTTGTTTCTCAAAGTTAGTTTGCACCAAAAAAAGCACCACTCTCGTTTTTGCCCTCTGTGAAAAGCACTCCATTTAAAGGGCTCATGAACTGAGAAATCAAATTTCCCTTGATCTTTTGACATATAACTGCTCAATTTACTATAAAAACGTCCTGTAAGTTTCAGAACTCAAAACTTTCTGGTTAGTTTAAAAACAGCTTTTATTGAAACCAAGCTCATAAAATGACTGGTTCTGAAATGTGTCACTTTATGATGTAATAGTGAGCCCCGCCTCCACAGGAGATTTTGCACCCTCAGATTCCAGATATTCAAATAGTTGTATCTCAGCCAAATATTGTCCTATCCTAACAAACCATACATCAATGGAAAGCTTATTTATTCAGCTTTCAGCTGATGCATAAATCACAATTTCGAAAAATTGACACTTAAGACTGGTTTTGTGCTCCAGGGTCACATATGTGTAAATATCACAAACATTTCATGACCCCTTTAAACTGTCGCCATCTTTGAAACCTTCCAATTGCATGTTTCCAAAAAACATTGTTGCAAGCGTGCAGCTCCTGTCACGCATGCGGCAGATGAATCGGGGCTGATCCGGGAACAGCGGGGCTGACGGATCTGTCTGCGCTGTCAGTCTGCAGCTGATCACAGAGCAGTCACTGGGATGTTTACCTTGTACTGATAGGTCGGGCCGAGATTGTTCCATGGTTCAGGGTTATTCTTCCTGTCCCAGCTGACAGAATGAGGGTAAGGCCAGACCGGAGGAAAGAGAGAGCGAGTGAAAACAGAGCAGTGGAAGGAGGAGGAGGATGAGTGGCTGTAAAGGAGGGTAATTATCAGGCGGAGGTGACGAAGGCCAGCCTGCTGTCATTCATTAACCAAAGTTTGTTTCTCGTGGAGAACAATGAACACACAGCATGCAAGCCAAACAAACACAATGATGGACAGAACATGGTTATGATTTTACCACGAATAAGAAGTGTTCTCCGCCCCATTACTGTGGTAAAATCACTAATGAACAGCTTCAAGTGGCATTTTTAAATCATGACGACAGCAATGTGCTGTCAGTGTTCATAAATAGTTAAATTTGTTAATAATAAGAAGAATAAAATATTACTCTGTGCAGTAATAGAGCACAACAAGTCGATAAAAGCATCTGCCAAATGCATCAGTGTTGATATCTAGATTTCCTGCAGCATGATTGCTCAAACAGTTGTGTATATAGTGCATGCAATGCTAAAGTCATGGGTTCGATTCCCAGGGAATGCATGAACTGGAAATGTGTATATCTTCAATGCAATGTAAGTGGCTTTGGAAAGAGTCATCTGCAAAATGCCTAAATGTAGATAAATAGCTTACCTGATAGCATTCCTTAAACCGTTCAAAACGGTACTTGCAATGGCAAGGTCATCGGTTTGATTCCCAGTGAATGCATTAACTGATAAATTGTATAACTTGAACGCAATGTAAGTCGATAAAAGTGTCTTCCAAATGCATACATGTAGATCTAGCTTTCCTGTAGCATTGCTCAAACAGTAGTGCATAGTGCATGCAATGCTAAAGTCATGGGTTCGATTCCCAGGAAATACATGAACTAAAAAATGTATACCTTTAAAGCATTGTAAGTTTGCTTTAGATAGAAGCGTCTGCCAAATGCATAAATGTAAATACCTGAGTAATTACTCATCTGGTTTAAGTAACTTAAACTAACTTACTCAGCAAGAACTGTTGCTTCATCATTGAGCTGAAAGAGGGAAGTGCAGGAGACGCGTTACGAATGCGGTCCGACATGTTTCAGAATGCAGCGACATGTGAAAAGGAGCTTAGTTAGAAGTGTGTGTGTTCATGTACTTGCATCGAATAGGTTTCAGGTCTAAATGAACAAACAAACACACACACACACACACACTCTCTCTCTCTCTTATATGCATGGAGTGTGTGTGTGTG